GAGAGGGGGAGAGAAACCTAAATGTGAAAGTGGAACATTGATTGGCAGCCTTCTGCCTGCCCCCTACTGGGGATCGAGCCCACCACTTAGGGCTGTGAAGGGACTAGGAATCAGACTGGCAACCTTTCGGTGCACGGCACAGGACAGTGCCCTGCCAACTGAGCCACACCAGCCGGGCCTCAGTTTTCTAAAGTCACCTGCAGATGGACTTGACCGGTGACTTGGTTTGGCTGTCCGGCGGGAATTGGGAATGCCAGTGTGGGTCCCTGCTTCCTCTCCTCCTGTCTTATCATTGTTTGTAAATGGGAGTTGTCGTTTCCTCTTCTGAACTGACGTCAAGGCTTACCCCAGGCCCACAGTCGTAGCCTGTCTGGGTGAGGATCACTGACCCTAAACAGGATCCTTGGTTTTCTGGCATCAGGACTGGATGCCAACCTCCTCTCCGTCACCTCCTGCAGGGAAGCCCTCCCTTCCTTGTCCACATTCGTCCTCCAGCGTTCAGCTTGGAGGGATTTCCCTCTCCCCCTCCCCCTCTCGCCTCCCCAAACATGGTGTCCTTTGAGGGCAGAGCCTGCCCTGCAGCCGTGCAGGACATGCTCCTAGGAGTTGATCCAGCTCATGCGCTGGGACTAGGAGCTCGGCACATGCTCTTCTGCTGCAGAGAAATGCATTTCTGATGCTGAAACAGGCTCTACTTCTCTTCACAGTGCCAGGTGGAGCTCAACAGGAAAGTGCTGGCCGATCTGGCCATCTACGAACCAAAGACTTTTAAATCCTTGGCTGCTTTGGCCAAAAGGAGGCGAGAGGAAGGATTTGCCGCCGCCTTGGGGGACGGGAAGGAGCCTGAAGGGATATTCTCCAGAGTGGTGCAGTATCACTGAGGGGCGCTGGTGCACCTGCCTCTGCAGCGGCGTCGGAGGAAAAGGCGTCCCCATGCCACTGAGGGGCCTCTGCAGCGGCGTCGGAGGAAAAGGCGTCCCCATGACCGTCATGAAAACGGGCGAGAATCCTTGGCCAGGAACGTGTTAGGTTTGACTTGCAGTTGTGTTACTTGACATCTCAGTAACCGTGTGAGAGAGAAGGCCTGTCTGTCCTCCTTGGGACAGACCAGCGGCCGCTTGTAGATTGTGTCAATAAAGCTTGTGTGCTGGTCAGCGTCTTCACTGTGTCCTCTGTGCTCTCCCTCCATGTGGTGGGAGAGGCTGCCAGGGTGAGGGGTCAGTTAAGCATCTGCCTTCCTCTGGGAACCTTGGATCCTCTCCTGAACGTGAGGTGTTTGCACCAGGACTCTGAAGTCTGACCCTGGCTCCCCTCGGTGCTCTGGGTGCCCACCCAGCACACGAGGCCCCCGGCCCGCTGACTACCTATGCTTGCCTTCGCCTCTACCCTTCCTTCCTGCCTTCCCAGCAGGGACCCTGTGCCAGCCTGTTTCCCTGCTGTCTCCCTTGTTCCCCAGGCCAGGAGGGGCAGCAGGCAAGGGGGCTCTTCTGGTCCCACTCACCTTAGCCCCCAAGGATGGGTGATCACCTGGGAAGACCCCTCCCCCAAATACTCCACTTGATCCAGAGGCAAGCCCAGGAATAAGTTCTCAGCATGCTCGCCCCACTGATACTTCACAGCAGCTGTGCCAGCCCTGGCCCCCTCCCCCATCATCCCGTACATCATCCTACGGGAGATGTAGGGTGTGCTCCCTCCTGCTCAGGGCCAGGCCTTCGCCTTCTGGAGAGCTGGTTCCACGCTCAGCCTCAGCTTCTCTGTACTGAGAACACTCCACTTCTGGGGCATGTTCTTCCTCAGCCCCACTCTGGTCTCCACCTCTGGCCTGTTAGTCTGTATTCACCCAATGGCTCTCATCAAAGCCATCTTCTGGAACCCTATCCAGTGAGTACTGTCAGCCCTGGCCCCCAAAGGACCATGCACTTCCCTTCCCCCTTACTCCCCTCCAGGGCTCTGCCGGCCCAAAGCAGCATTCACTGCTTGCTGGTGACTCCTGCATCGCCCCCCCTCTCCCGTCTTCCCCACTTTTTTTTTTAAATCCTCACCGAAGAAGAGAGATATTTTCCATTGATTTTTAGAACATGGAGGGGAGGGAGAGAGAAAAACATCGATTGGTTGGCTCCTCGCTCTAGCCCCGACAGAGGCAGGGATTGAACCTGCAACAGAATCAAACCCTTGACCCTTTGGTCCGTGGGCTGATGCTCTAACCACTGAGCAAAAAATGGCAGGGCTGTCTTCACTCTTTTTTTTGATATTTACCTTTTTAAAATCTGTATTAATAGAAGGGTAATATGCTAATTAGGGCAGATGTCTTCCGGGTGTCCATCTGGAAGTCCATCCAGACAGCCACAGCGGCTGTGAGGCCCAGGGCTCATGGCAGCTGTGGGATCACAAAGGCCATGGGCTCAGGCAACCGTGAGCCCCAGCCGCTGCGAGGGCGGGGCTCAGGTCTCGCAGCTGCTGCAGCCAGTAGTGGCAGCAGCAGCGGGGTGATGGGATTTGGTGTGGTGTGAGCACAGAGCACTGCTGTGGAGGAGCTGCCTTTATCCAATGGGGAGCGGGCTTAAGCCGTCAGTAGGACATCCCCCGAGGGCTCCCGGACTGTGAGAGGGCAGGCTGGGCTGAGAGACACCCCACCCCCCCATGCACGAATTTTCATGCACCAGGCCTCTAGTATAAATATAATTTGAGATTCTTTTTAATATTTTATTGATTTTTTACAGAGGAAGGGAGAGGGATAGTTAGAAACATTGATCAGCTGCTTCCTGCACACCCCCCTACTGGGGATGTGCCCGCAACCAAGGTACATGCCCTTGACTGGAATCGAACCTGGGACCCTTTAGTCTTCAGGCCGACGCTCTATCCACTGAGCCAAACCAGCCAGGGCTTCCCTCCACTCTTACTGCTGCCACGCTGGGTCCTGTGGTGAGACCATCCTCCATCCTTGCCAGCAGTCTCCTGGAGGTCCTCTGGGTTCCTCCTCAGACTCAACGCCCGCCTCCAACCCCATCCAGAGCCAGTCAGGTCATGCCCATCTTGCCTGGTGACCTGCCCGCTTTTCTCCATCCTCACTGCAGGCCAACATCCCTTCTGGCTCCAGTCACTGCACTGGCCTAAGAACCCCCTCCTGGCCCTTGTCACCGCGTGCGATGAGGGCCACTAGACTGGAAACATTTCAAGGCTCGGGGACGAGTCTTGTTCCCTCTCATTGCACCTCGTGCAGGGCTGACTATGTGCACAAGGTGCTCAGTGCACACGCCCGTCAGTAAATGGCTCTTGGGCAACAGGGTGGCGGATACAAGGAGCCCTTTGCTGTGGTGTGAGCACAAAGCACTGCTGTGGAGGAGCTGCCTTTGTCTCAGTCAAGGATGGAGCGGGGGAGGGGGGGGAAAGAAGGCGGCAGACAACTGTGGGCTGCTCCCAGCCCTCCCCCTCCAACCACTGGACCATTTCCCTTCCCGGGCCTGGCCCTGCCTGGATAGAGCCATAAGCTGTTTGCTGGGCGTTCCAGACAAGAAGTTACTCCTCTCCCACCATTAGTTCTGGTGAGAGTTTGGGACAACTAGCAACAGATCAGGAATATTGCATGTTCCTCTGGTACAGCTGTGAGAGCAGCACGCTGTCAGGTGACGTCACCACCACCAGACGCTGGCAGCCACTGACCCAGAGAGCATGGGATACAACCGACCAGGAAGTGGAGGGTCAGTAGAGTCAGGAGTTCATCCAGGTGTCCGCACGGCGAGAGCGTCCACTGCTGGTAGGATGAAGTCCGAGGCCTTTACCACAGCCGCTGGGACATCCCAGCCTGGCCCCCTGCCCACGATGCCTTTGGGGTGCCATGGGCTTTGGGGAAACATGGAGTTCGGTGTTTCCAGCTACCCCTCTTCCGAAGTCAATTCTGTTCTGTTCTGTCTTTGGCTCCATTCTGAGGGCAAGAACTCTGGTGACCTCTTATTATTTGCACCCCAAACCCTGGGCTCACCAAGAACTGGAGAGTAGTGACAACGCCAGCCGCCACGTATTAACTCAGGCAAACAGAACACAAGAGCCCTCCAAGAACAAAACCCAGAAAACTTCACAACACAAAGGAGGGAGGTCGGGTCCTGGAGAACTTACCCTTTAGCTCCCGAGCCGAGAACAGGGAGCTTCGCTGGCCCTGTGGGCGCCGCACCTGCCCGCTCACCCGACCTGGAGCTACGGGGACAAGGGGTCTTTTCTGGGTCCCGGATGAGCCCCAAATATGCCGGACGTAAGGAGGGGAGTGGGAGATTGCAATCCGAAATGTGTCGTCAAGGCCGGCCAAGTGCAGGTTTCCGTCCGGAGGAAATTGGGTGCAGTACAGTCGAGAGCGGAAGAGGAAGTTAAGGGCAGGGGCCGGTCACCACCGTGGGGCTGGGTCCTCCGGCGACGGGGGTGCGAGAGCCCCTCACGCACGCGTCTAGGTCAACCTTTCTGACCTAAATGCTGACACCCTCAAACACCCCCCAGGGGCCTCCGGGGGTCCCGCCAGGCTCGGGGACGCAGCCCACAGCGAAAGAGCAGCCGCGGA